GAGAATCCTCTTTCCTACAGAACTAACAGAATGAGGGTTCAACATAGTGAGTCGTTTGTAGTTCCAGTGACTTTTTCTATTGCCATTTGTTTGATTATAAACCTGTATATTAAAGATACAATGTTTGTTAAATTGGCAACTAAGAAATAAAATTGATCCCTAGGGACATAAAAGTACAATTTAAATTTGGCAGCTTTCCTGTTTTTGTCAAGGAAAGGTATATTTTTCAGTTTGCTTTATTAATTAGTTAATACTACTTGATATGATAGCTTATTATTCTTCCCAATAAAAAAATATCAAATTAAAGAGTCTCCAAGTTTGAGGGTCCCACTGGAAAATATCTAGTAATTTTAGAATAATATATACCATGTTTTCTCTATGAAGATGAAAATGATTTAAGGGGCATAAATTAAAGAAATATCCAAAAGACAAGAAAGAGAATTTTTAAGGATTTCATTAAACATACATTGGTTAAGAAACTAGCATATGTTAAAACTATGTTGCATATATTTACAAGAAGATACAGTCTCTGACCTTTCAGATTAAAGAACGACAAAGAAGAAAACTCTTCAAAAAATTTAAAAAAACAAAATACATATTGGTATTATAGTCTGATGATTGTTCTAATAACCCAGGAGATAATGGTAATACAGAAAAGAAAGAAGTCATTCAGGATAGAGTAAGAGAAGGCTTCCATAACACTTGGCATATTTCTTGATCAATGATTCAGAGCTGTTGGGATGAGGGCACTGTGATTGGAGGAACCACACTTGCAAAGGTATGAACATGTTTCACATTTGGAGAACTGCTAATCAACAGGCATGCCTGAAGTGAAGGATGCATTTGGAGATGGGGAGATGAGACTAGAGATCAGGCAGTGGCAAGCATTGAGCAGGACAGTGGGCAGGCACCCATGGCCTTCCTTTTAAGGTGTGCTTTGGAATTTTAACCACATCTTCAAGGAAATAGGGGTATCCATAAAGGTTTAAGTAAGGTATGACATAAGGCAGTCTGTAACTCTTTAAGAGTCAATCTGGAGTAATGTAAAGGGCAGTGAAACCAGAATCAAGATGCCCATGAGATCACTAAGGAAATCTAGAAAAGAAATGAGGGCTTGAATTTAAGACAGAGGATAAGAGGACAAAAGCTTAAGAAATGGACAAAGTAAGCAATAGAATATGTATGAGAAGTTGAGGAAGAGGAACAAGAATAGAATATGATTCCCTGGCTAGGGTAACTTGACCGATAATTAGATGAAATGTAGACTTCTAAAAGACACATAGGTTTGGAGAAATACCAGGTTTGGAGGAGTTTATCAGAGAGATCCTAGACGCAGTCTCAAATGCAAATCTGGATGGCTCAACAGCATATTGGTGCTAGCTGGTCACAGATACAGATGATAAGGTCCAAAAATCATGTGATCAGAGTGAGAAGAGGGGCAACCATGGGTCTCTGGGGAACCCTCCCTGCCTGTCCTCCAATTAAGGGATGGGTGGAAGAAAAGAAACCTGAAAAGAAGACCTGTTCATTAAACATCAATTGTGCTCTAATGATTTTTAATTAGCATTTTCAATTTTGTGCCTAAACTAATATTCTTTCCAAATTTCTACCTTAAATATTACCATCTCGTGTAATTATAACATTGGGTAATGCTCTGGGAAATTAGTTTGTACCATTTCATAAGTACACAAAATACACTCGAATTTATTCAATGATTCATTTTTACTTTTGTCAAGGTGAACATAAAATTGAAGTTATACTGGTTTTTAATGAAACACCTCTAATGCTAAGGAAAGATGGATACACAGTAACAAAATAGAATATCAAATGTGTTTGGGCAATGATATTTAGGGAAACAGGTGTGTGACCTGAATAGCTGTAGGTGGTCTGTTTTCTAGTTGAGAATTGATTTGTGCATTTGACCTGAAAGGAAGGTATTAACTCTTTAAGTCACAGATGAAATCATTCTTTCACTGAACAGACACTTTCGGGGTACCCACTCTAGGCTTTGCATTATTTGAGTTGATAAAAGCAGTAAAATTTTGTCCTAGAAGGTATGTATGTTAAACAGACATGAGAAAATAAGAAATTATGGTAATATATGCTTTTGTAGTAATAGAGAAAAAAATTCACAAATATCCATTAAGTGTTTTGGAAGTGGGAAGTCTATTATCTTTTGTAGCCTAGTTATAGCTAACAGAGAGAGGAATCTTTTTCAGGTCAAATGGAAGGACCAGTTTTGCAAATATGCATGTGAAAACTGTCAACTCACAAACCCAGCTAATAAAAGGAGAATGCAATTACAAAAGATAAAAACAAAAAACATTTTTTGAAACTTTAAGATGACTTTTATGAGGCAATAAGATTCTTGGCAATCTCATTTAATCCCTTTCCTCTCTTTACTCAGCTTTTTCTTTTTCTCCTTTCTACTTAGAATTTGTGACCTAGTAGAGAACTGTTCTGGGAACCCATTTTTCACAGATATTGGGGGAAAATATATGTTGCTAATCAGCACAAATTGAAAAGTTAACGAGTAGTCTGCACTGGTACACAGACACATATTTGCACATAGGGTACAGTCAAAGGACTGTTGTGAAGACTGATTAAGATAATGCGTGTAAAGTACTAAGACTGTCTAGTATAAAGTAAATTTCAGTAAATACCAAGTATTTTAATATTATTATAATTGCTTTATTATTTAGCTCAATTTTAACCATAGAACTATAGAAACAAATTATAAATAAAAATGGTTCTGTGCATTTATTTACTGCATTTTACATTGCTTAGAATTTGCATTTTTAAGTTATTTGCCTTGAAACATTGAGACTAAAAATACTCTCAGATATGTGGTAAGGTATTTTATTAAGATCTCAAGGATTTCATAACTTTTAAAAGAAGGTTTGACCCCACAATAAGAAACTACTTTCCTTCTGTACCTATTCAGTCTGTGAGCCATTAATGACTGGTTGCAGTTCTGTTTTTTAACTTTCCATTTTGTGAGAAATTTAGAGGATGTAATGGAAATGAGTTGGTTGTGAGGTATTGGGAGGAAAGAAAGGTAGAAGCTTATTGTGATCTATGTGCCCAAATGTCATGAGAAAAGCCTTGCATTAATTCAAGATATATAATGTATGTGATGATTATTATGGTCTCCCAGAGAAACAGATCTTTAGCTAGAAGAGGATGTTTGTGTTTAAATGTTAATAGAGACAAAAACTATGTGAGCTTTCTGTGGGAATGGATTAAATCCAGGAATTATGCTTACAAATGGATAAAGCAATAAACAGAGCTTTTTATCCCCCTCTAGCTTTCGTATGTTTTTGGCACTTATATTGACTTCGTTGTTAACCACGTTATGTGCCAGTCAATAACAGGTATTGAGTTTCTGTACTATATATATTAAGCACTACACTAGAACACTGTAAAGAGAACATGGCCATTGACTGATTAGAAATTCAACCAATGTCTCACTTAAAAGATAAGAATTCTACTGCTGTGAAAAAACTTATACCATTTTAACAAGATAATTAAGATAATCAAACTACAGTTTTCATTGGAGAAAATGATAAGGGATAGTCAAATGACATCAAGTAGGAAAAAAAAGAAATGTCAGAGTATTAAATACTATTACTCTGGTTTGTAGCAATGAATAGCAAACTTGTTCTCAACCCATTCACACTCTTAAAAGTTATTAAGGACCCCAAAGATCTTTCAGTTATGTGGGTTATGTTTATTAGTATATCTAATAATTAGAAAAATAAAACTAAGAAAACTTAGAAATAGCTATTCATTTAAAAATAATAAACCTATTATATAACATAATTACATATTTTTATGAAAAAAACCACTATATTTACAAAATAATAAGTTGAGTGGGAAGAGTGGCATTATTTTATACCATACTAATTAATCTCTTTAACAACATCTGGTTTAAGAGAATTCATATGGATTCTCTTATCTGCTTCCCCATTCAATCTGTTGCCATAAATCATTTTGTTTGAAACAGATGAGGAAAATCTAATCTCACATAGTTACATCGTTGAAAAAGGAAGGAGTATTTTAATAGCTTGTGAATATTCTTCTTTGGTATTATACCAAAACTCAACAAGCGGTAGTTTCTTTAAGAATTTTTGCAGTGTGGATCTAAAACCACATCAATAAACTTTTCTTACCCTGTGATATTAAAGAAGTCTAGCTTGCACTTTGAATGGACATTTTACTGATGCATGATTTTGTGACATCATTGGGCATTTGGAAAACAATGGTTCACTGGGTAATGTAGATTGTCTGAAAGTTGACACATTTTATTTTATTACATAGTATTTAAAAATTACATTTGTCAATAACCACCAGACTCATCAAAAAATTAGTTAAATACTGGAGAGCTCTCAAGCTCATAGTGGCAAATAAAAGGTTTACAACATTCTAATTTTTACTCAAAAGCTTGATTTTTATCGCTGGCAACAATACTGTCAGTTGTATCCTGAAAGTAACAAGCTCACTTCACTCACTTTTGAGAAAATGCCTGACAAATATCTAAGTATGGATAATTATAGTTTGTCAAGTTTTTCTCTCAAGTATAAAGGGTGTTTAATGAAAAAGCAGCCAGCTCAGCTTGCAACGCAAAACAGTAGATTTTCCTCCAGACAACTGTCATACTTCATTATGCAGCAGAAGTGTTGGGTGTGTATTTCCCATTTCACCTCACAGAGTATTATTCTAAATGTGTACCCAGGGGGTGAGATTTAACAAAATCAATACTTTTTACTGCTTAATCAAGAGTATTCTTAAGTGAAACTGCCTTTTTTTTTTCTATGAGTGTATGCTGTTGAAGAACACAGTGGCTGCTAGTGTATTTTGTGTTACTGCCTTGATTCATTCTAAAGCTCCAGCATGAATCAGCTGTTGCTTCTGCACCACGTATGCAATGTCAACACAATGAAAAGAAACAAATAACAACGTAGTGTTCATGTGAAAATATTTTTGACCTTGCATATCTCTCTGACAGGGCCTCGGGGTTCCCCACAGTTTTGAGGAGCCTATTTTGAGAATCCTTAGTCTTCATGGGTAAGCCTCTAATTTTCCCATTGCACTGTTGTTCTTTGCAAATATTCTTCTCTCTGTTTGATTTAAGGATAAAGTATATATTACATTATGTTGAACAGATATATCCTGTGGTTATTATTACAGTTAAAGGTGTAGATTGTGAAAATGTTTTCTATTTTAAATTATTTTAGGTATCTAAATTAAAAATTTTTTTAAATTATTAGGTATCTAAATTTTCATGAATTTTTAAGCAATCTGTCCTTAAAACCAGTGTTGTATTAACAAACAAAATAATTTTCATATAAAGATAATTCTGCATTTGATAATATGAAGATTTTAATTTAACATCTAACACAGTGTCCTGGATCTGAACTTAAACATCATGCTATTATTATAAATCTATTAAATTTCCCTGAATTTCTTATTAAGCCATAAAATACCTATCCACATCAAAGAAGTGAATAGAAAAGTATGTATATGGCATAGTTAGAATTTTTCAATCTTACTCTTTTTTATTAATGTGGATTTGTAGGAGTAACAAACACTTGAAACAAAATTTAGAAATTTAAAGTCGGAATCTGCATTATCTGGGAGATGACTCTTAATAGGACATTATTAGAAACTGTAGTAGTCTATGAAGATAAAGCCAAAATTCTATGTTGTTTGTACTCAACATATTTTTAAATCTAACTCTAAGTAAATAACATGAAAATAAAGTCTATATAAAAAATAAGTCTATATGAAAATAAGAACCCCTTTATTTGCACTGATCTTTCTATTTAGTTTAGTTGTAGGAGGGGAATGAGTTTAAAAAAGTAGGAATGTGTGCATGAAAAATTACAGATCTTCTGTAGCTCAAGAAAACTTATTTTTGTAATTTAGGTCCTGGCTTTCAAATCAGGGCCCAAAGAAATAAGTGTTAAAATAAGGAGACTACTATGTAGAATCATAGAGTGTGGATGAGTTCCAGGGAGTCCAAAAATCCCTAAAATTATATGCAAATGTATTGTATCCCTGGATTTTTTCCCAGGGAGTTTTCCAAACCTTTTATCATGGAGTTCAAGACACAAAAAAATGAGAACTACTGAATCTGTGTTTTGACTAGAGTGGAAAAATTCTATGCTATATGAGCTGGATAAATCATGTTATGCCACAGGTCCATATATGATAACTAAGGTAAACTAAAGATTAAGCAATATAAACCATACATATATAAACATAAACAGACCTTAATAATTAATTGGGGAGTTTTGTTTATCAATTTTTCTATAAACTCCTTAAACTGGCTGTATGTTCTACATTAAAATAATGAGACTATTAGGAATTGGGAAGTGTTTATTTAAAAATATCTGTACCAAAATCTGAACAAAATGGGCATAAATATGAAAACACCTAAATGCTAGATAAATATGAAGAGACTTTTATACCAGTTACATGGTATCCGAAGTTGAATAGGTTTAATCATACCTCAATTTCTCAGACTCTGTAGAAAGTGTGGCTCATGGCTAGTAAGAACACTTTTACCTCTCAGTAGTTCTGTAGTTTTAAGGCATCTTTAAAGGGTGATAATCAGTGATGTTCCAGTGTCATTTAGAGACTGACAGTATTCTGGAATACATGTTTTGTTCAACAAAGTTATAAGTCTGTACTGTAATAACAGTTATTTTTCTCCACATTAAAATTCTTACTTTTGAAAGGGAAAAGAATTACAAATCTCTTTGTGCCTTTATTTACCATACCATCATAAAGATACACATTCATACATGCATATAGACACTCAATTATTCAATAATGCATTATTTTTCCTTATTACATTAAAATATTATCTTCCTACAATTTTTTTAACTGGTAAAACTTTTCCATTCCCAAGCCAAAAAGATTTTTTTATTTCCAAATTTTACAAATATAGGAATATCCATAAGATGGTGCTCTATCTTTAATTTGGTCAGATACTTGAATGCTAAAATATATCTATTACAAACGTGGTTAAGAGACCAGGTTAGAGTTTAATCTATAGTAAGTCTTTAGCTGTAGAGATGTCAGTATAAGTGGAATCAGAATCTTTACATATTTTTCTTTTATCACACAATTGCTGTCTTTCTCCCAAACTTAGTCAATTATAGGTGAAAAAAATAATTGCAGTTCTCATTTCAATTGATGTTTTCAGTTTGCACATACCACATTCGATAAATGAAGCAGTTGAATTATATACAGTATAAATTTTTACAAAGTTCAATAATAGTCCTTAAAAGTCCTTTGAAACCTCCATTTCGATGGAAATTAAAAATGACATTGCAAGCACTTCCTTTTAGACGTTGAAGAACTGTAGAGGAATTAACTCCATAATTATCTCTACCTAGTAAGATTATTTAACTAGTGAGGGAAAAGTAATTTAAGATATGCTACTTGTATAATGTATTTCTCATTTAGGGTGGTGCAGTCAGGAGAAGTAATATTTCCTAGTCCATTTAAGTATCACTCAGAAACAGATTCAATAAACAGAGCAATTAAAAATTGGTTATAGGAGCCTTAATTTCTAAGAGAAAAAATCTCATGCCAAAGAAATAGAAACTACGGTAGTGGAGGTGACAAGGGAAAACTGTTTTCACGACAGCAACTATTTGGAGTCATGAAGGGCAATAATATCTATTTGGGTGTGTCCAAGGCAGGAACCAAATTCCCATCACATAACCATATGAAAGTCTCAAAATACTGCTATGATTTAGAGGCATATTTAATTTTACAGGTTTGCTTTTCCATCAATTGCTTAGAATTTTTCTCCCTTTGAACAGTGCCATCTTCTGAAGGACACCATCATTACACTTCTTATCCAATATGATGCTATAATTTTGCAGAAAACTGTGTAGATCATTAAGAAGTACTAGTACTGAACAGAGAATCTTATACAACATTACATTACAAAACAGCAAAACACAGTGAACAGCTATTATTAAGAACTTAAACACTTAGGTTACATTTTCTGTTGGCAAAATATCAATATATACTGGTATCTTAAAAAGTTATAAAGTAATTCTAAGAACTTGTGATACCAGATTTGTGAAGGCATTTTTACCTTCTCAAAAATTTCCTAGAATTTACCTTTCTTAATTAATACACATTTTCCTTCTCATACTGAGATACAAAGTCTAAGTAATAGGTTTATGTAAATAAAACAATACAGCAAGACTTACATTTGTGTGATTTTTGAATAAAAAGTTAAAACTAAGAAACTAAAATCAAGTAATGATTGACAACCATTTTCATTAATATAATCCATCAACCTTTCAACAAATTATTTTCCTATTCATTTGCTCATAGTGCTGTACAATGATACATAATAAACATTTATGTCAATGGCACCTTCCCTGCTTTCAATGACAGTGTTATTCTGTAGTCAATGGGGAAAATAGTATTTGCATGTATAAGAAACAGCTAATGAGCATTAAAAAGATCATGAAGATAAATACTATTTTTAACTTTTGTCTGTACATTAATTTTGAAACTAGGACCGACTGCGTGTGTTGGAAAATAATACCTTATCAGGTGCTTTGGAAGAAATCAAACAGAAAGTAGACATCTCTATTTGGAGAGACTTAAGGTACCACAGAGCAGGGGCTGTGCAGGAAGTGTTTAGGTATCAGTCGAAAAACCATGAAGAATGCTGAGAAAGAAGCAACAGACAGGATTCTATTACAGATATCCCCACGGTTTAATTAATTCGATGGATATTTATTAAGATTTCACTCTGAGCCAGGCACTGGGATAAGTGGAGAGAACAGAATGATGAGCAAAAACCCCACAACTTCTCCCTCTTGGAATATAAAATGTAGGATGAAGATAGACATTAATTTTAAAAAGACCCTACACATAAATGTATAATTACATGCTGAAATAACTTTTAAAGTAGAAGCACAGGCTACAGTGAAAGCATGTGACAGAGAGGTAAGACCCAGTCTGGCAGAGGGGTGAGGGAAGCTAGTGGTGCTCGGGCAGAGATCTGAAGGATAAGAACGGGTTACAAAGAGTCTTTCATATTGCTTGCAATTTGCTTCAAAATTATCTGGGGTGGAGGTGGTGGGTGGTGCCTTAGATGAAATAAGATTAGACATGTATTGCTAATATGAATATGCTTGATAATTTCAATAATACATATGTATGTAAAACAAGTACATGTACATGACGTATATGGTATTTCAGGCAGGTGGTGTGATAGAGCTGAACACCATAAGGCAAGAAGGCATTTGGTTTGTTCTAAGTTCCTGGAAAAAATGCCACCATGGCTAGAATGCAGAGAACTGAAGCCAGACGTACAGTGTAAGGCCCTACAGACCCTACTGAAGTTTGGGCCTTTATCCTAGGAGCAGTGAGGAGTGTTAGGCATCAGTATTATAGTCATATGTTTTATTTTCTATAATAAAAAGTCTCTCAGGTTGTACTTAGATATTAGAAAAGGGGCAAAAATGGGTGAAGGCAATGGAAATGGAAGAAAGGAAGTGATTGGAAAGAAATATGGGAGGTACAACTGAAATCACTTGATGAAGAAATGGATATTAAACAAAAATGAGAGGAAGATGTTAATAATAATGAGAAGATTGATCTTTTCCTTTCTTTCAATACTAGAGTTAGTGTATAACTCTTAATATATTAATAACATGGACAGGCTTAATCACATTCCTAACACATACTCTCTGGAGGCCAGAAGGGGTTTAGGATTAGGAATAACTATTAAAAGATTTTAGCTGAGACAGAAGGAGCTCCACCTGAAACCCTCACTAGAGAATGTCTGTCACAGGATGAAGCACTCACTACAATGATGAATACTTAAAGAAAATTTATTGCTTCCAGACTGTTAGTCAGTTTCACGTCAGTGATACAGTGCTGTTCAAAGGTTCCCATTTAATATTTTAACAGTAAAGTGGGGAGCTGATATAACCCTTTACCCACACCATGAAAATGTTCTCAGGAAATCATTGGAGAAACTTTGCGATAAAAAGGCAGCCTGAATTATAACAGAAAGTAGAACAAGTTAAATAACATCGCTAGTCCTTGAATTTCTCTGTGATTTGATATGGGAAACAACCTGCCCACCTCACCAGATGGGCCATAGCCTGGACCTTAGGCCTAAGTGGACAGATGCAAATGTCATTTGGCTAGATCCTGTCTTAGGGCAAATAGAGAAGGAAAAAGAAGGGTAAACAGACATTTTCTTCCTATCACAGTGACCTAACTTTAACATCCTGATGCTCATTTGGCTGTTTTCTGAATTACCTGTATTTTATAAATAAAGCTCAATTTTTAAAACTGCAGAACAAATACTAAAATAAAATATTTTCCATTAATAAAACTCTTTGGGGAAGAAAGCATCCTAATATAAGAGACTGTAACAATATTCTCACTCAATGTTAGGATTTACAGAACATTATTTGGGTGGTAGAGGTAGGAAATGAACACCGCCCAAATATTTCTACAAGTCTACTGCTGTGAGAAGTGATTTCCTTGACTTTTTTCCCCACTCCTGTCAAGAATAGAGAGCACTTCCCTATGATAAATAAACTTTTGTGTTTTTGTTATTTATGAACTTTGGATACTATTTAAAAATTACTTACTTCCATTTTAACAAATATTTACTGAGTATGGATTACACACCAGGTTCTGTTGTAGACACTAAGATACAAAAAACTTAAAAGAAACCCTAGCATTTCCATACATTTTCAAAGAGGATTAATAGCTATTACTTTATTCTATTTTTCACAATGGTCTTACAAGGAAAGCACAGAGAAATTAAATGACGTGCCAAGCTTTGGTTCTGTAATTAATAAGAGATTCTCTTCATTCCTGACCCATAAATTTCTCCTAATTATCTTTTATCCTTCAACTGATTATCTTTACTTGAAGGTCTGAAAATAAATTTTTTATTTCCTTTACAAGTATGGTGTGGTACAGACTCTACCTACATTGTTGGGGTTCAAATTCTTTCTGCCTCTTTAGGTAGGTGGCTGAGTAACAACCTACCCAAAAACTCGGTGGCATAAACAACAATCAACTATTCTCTCTCATTTATCTGTGGGTTACTTGATCCAGGCTGTGCTGTGCTCCAAATTATAGGTCAGTTTCAGGTCTGCTCCACCTGTCTTTCATCCTCTTTGGGCCAGTCTGCTACTGAGCGCATGGTCAACTCATACTGATGGCAGAGACATAAGAGGAGAAGCCATCCCTGTAGGCACTACTTCTAGCCTCTGCTTGTGTGTCTGTTAGCATCCCATTGGCCAAAGCAAATCACATGGCCATGCCCAATGTCTTTCTAAGTAAAGGGACAGGAAAGTACACCTATCATCGTATAAGGCTGATCAGTGGTTGTCTGGGGCCAGGAGCAGAGGGAGAGATGGATTGCAAGGAATCATGGGAATATTTGGGGGGTTATAAAATTGTCTATGTCTTGATTCGTAGCAGTAGTTTCACAGATTCATGCCTCTGCCAAAGCTGAAAAAATTGTCTAGTTTATATGGACGCAGTTCATTATTTGTAAATGTGTATCTTAATAAAGTTGATATAAAAAATAAAAAGGTTTCTGAAAAGGATGGGATGAAATGACCTATAGAGAATGAACATTTTAGTGGCAGATGATATTCATTGCAAACTAGAAAAAAAAAAGTACTACTACTAAACTCATGTACATACAGTAGCCCCTCCTTTTCTGTGGTTTCCTGTCCCATGGTTTCAGTTACCTGTGGTCAGCTGCAGCTGGGAAGCAGATAATCCTCCTTCTGACATACTGCCAGAAGGTCAACAGCAGCCCAAGTCATTCACCTTACTTCCTCTCTTCAACGTAGGCATTCTATCACCTAGCATTATCACAGGAAGGAAGGTGAGTACAGTATAATACAATATTTTGAGAGAGACCACATTCAAATAATTTTTTCTTACAGGATGTTGTTATAATTGTTCTATTTTATTATCAGTTATTGTTGTTAATCTCTTATTGTGTCTAATTTACAGTTAAACTTTACCATAGGTAGGCACTTGTAGGAAAATATAGTATATATAGGGTTCAGTACTACCTGTGGTTTCAGGCATTCCTAGGGGGTCTTGGAACACATCCCCCGTACACAAAGGGGGACTAGTATAATAGACTTCATTTTGTGCTTCAAAAATCAACATGTAGAGTGGGTGGAGGGTAACGTAATTAAATATTAAAAAGATTTTTATCTTTACTGAGTCTATGAATTGCTACTCCTGCCTCACTTCCTTATGTGAACAAATGCACTGCTTTCCCTTCTTTCTCTCCTTATCCTCCTTTCCTTAACATGTTGAAAAAAGACCAATTATTTTAGGTACTGCTGACACACAAAAGGCTTGATTTTTTTTCTTTTTTTAATTTGGGAAAGAATTTTAAGGTGTAAAATTAAAATAGTAGAGATAGTACACGCAACCCCATTAAGGCAGGTGGGAGTACTGATTAAAAATGAATTAAACATTTCACACACAGTCTCTAGCATTCAGAGAAAGACTCCCAAGTTCATGGCAATATGTAAGTGCATACAAAAGCTCATGAAATTCAGACCAAATTTAGAGCATCTCTGAGGAGACTGTTGCTGGCTTCTAGTTGCTTTCTCTCTTGCAAATGGCATGCTTGAATCTGCAAGTTTATCTTATATTTGTTTTTTCTTTCCTACACATGAAGTTTACAAAGAATAGAGTTTAATGGTCCATTTCCAAAATAAGTTCAATTTTTCTGTAGTCCAACCAAAAATAACAGTTTAGTTTTTAACAGTCTCTATTAGTTCCAACAAAATATTTTCAACCTGATTATTTCAAAGAACTAATATTAAAGAACCACCATAAACATAGTCACATGAGATTCTTTGGAATTCTAATAAACTTGGCATATTTGGGGACTTTTTCCCCTAGAAGCATTGTTAAACATATAAATAAATTTTCCTCTGGTAATCACATACCTACACATATTCCCACCATACTTAAAAATTTTTAGGTGGAATTGGGAAGAAAAAATAAGGAGTTAGCTGAACAATACAAAGTAATCAGCATTTTTAGTGAATGGTCCATTTTCTAAATCTTTCATAATCCAAACTTATCTACAATAATACATTATGCATGGAAATATGGGGATGTTTGCAGCATTTTGAATACACAGTAAAATACTATTCACATTTTTTCTCCATCACAATCAACTGTTTATTTGAATTCTAGAGTTTATGTAGTAAGACATTCACATGCTGCTATCCTGAAGATAAGCCACCAATGAATTCAAATGATGGGTCGAAGACTGCTAGAGATTTAACCTTACTTTCCTGCAAAAAAGATGGCATATGAACAGTAAAAGTACAATCCTGGCATGAATGCTTCTTGTTTACCTGGAATATTCTACCTGGAATTTTTCCAAAGCTACTGTAAATCAATATCTTTCATTTGTATAGCAAACTCATTATTACTTGAAATGTAAATCTAATCACAATGAAGGTAAAATATTTAAGTAGCTAATAATACAACAGTAATAATAACAGCTAATGTTAAAACCATGTATATAAAGATGGAAATGTGTGTTACAAACCAGACATTTTACTAAGAGTTTTATAAAATTTTTTCACTTTTTTACTGGATCCTCATCAAGCCCCCATGAAGTAGGTTCTATTATTGCACCAACTTTATAGCTGAAGAAATTGAAACTTGGAGATATTAAGTAATTTCGTCAAGGTTGCTTGGCAGTGGAGCTGGAATTTGAATGCAGATGGTCAAACTTCAAAATGCAATTTATTAACCACTGTGAACTGCAAACATTTGCATTACATAGAGGAGGTGAAAGGTAACTGTCTCCAGACTTTTAGGTAAATGGCAGAAACTAGGCACATTCCCTAGAAGACCTTAATTTAACTTAGGGTGCAAGAAATTTTTACTGATTGTCCCTATGTTAGATCTTGTGCTAGGAACTGAGGTCCAAAATTTTGTAAAACTGGGGGTCTACTCTTGAGGATATAGGCTAGTGAGAAGATAGTTACCTAAAAGGTCAAACAGAATAAAGTGAGGTTAATGCTATGCTGCAGCTGTAGGATGAGGGCATTAGCGGGACTGAATGGCTTCAGGAGAATCTATACAGCCTTCTCAGAGGAGGTAACATCTGAACTCAGCTCTCAGCAGTGAATCCTTCTCTTGGCAAATAATCACTGGAATTCACCTCTTTTCTTAGACCAATCAGGCCAAGCCCTGGAGCTGGGGGAGAAATCAGCCTCTCCTGCAGTACAGGAGCTGAGAGAAGAAGGGGTAGCCATATGATCACACGTGGGGTTCCATTACGAAGGGAGAATGGGGCCACATAGTAGGCACGAACATCATCAACCACAACACTGTCAGGATAATGAACTAAATACTTGGCAGTATTTTGAGGAAATTAGTGGAAAAACTGACTGCCAAGAAGGCAGATGTAGATATAGTCAATAAAAACTCTGAATGTCTCCCCCTCTAAACTGTATAGGAATGAAAAGGAATCATAATTAACAACTTTCTTAATTACGGTATGGTAGGAAGGATCTTTTCTATTTCCTCTGAAATTCAAAACCTGTAGGCTTAAAATAAAACTCTTTTGGACACTGTTACTGTTGTCACACTTATGTTCTCTGCCCATTTTTTTGCCATAATAATATATTATCTGTAAAAGATAATATACATATTTATGATTAGATGAATGGACATATTATGTATCATTGCAGTGAAAACATGTTACACATACACATACGTGTTCATCCTTTCGAGGTTAGGTACTACTCCCCAAGGTCACACAGCCGGTTGAATAGCAGAGTGAAGATGCAAAGCCCTGACTCAGAAGACAGACGCTGCCTATTACAAGCACCTCTAACTGTTCTTCCATGCTATTCTTTTTGCTCTTCTATTTTGGGGAGTTTATTACAAGTGTTCTTTCCCTGTATCCTCTAAATCAAAGCATAAGTGTTAATGCATGGACTTATGTTCCCTCTTAGCTTTACATCAGCATATTTCCAAGTTCATGCTATGTTATATAATTCTTCTTAATAACATTGAGTAGGCAGCTACTTCTTTCTTTGTAATATTCTTAAATATTTTAATGTGCAATTATTTTTCTGGTTGAACTTTTATATTCATTTTATCTTTATATTCCTTTTGCAATATATCGTTCATTGAAAAGTTTTCCAGTATTTTGTCTAAAAGCATTCCATTTCATATCATGATGTTCAAAGTTCTGAGCCACTTTTTGACCAAAATAAACTAGAGTTATTGACTACAACAGAGAAGAACCAATAATAAAGTAATTAGATTTCCATTTATATTTACACTGCAAAATCTAATTCTTTTTACTATTTGATTTAGAATATGCTATCCTCATTAAAATCACTAGTTCCTTTTAGGAAATATTACATTTGAATTTCCACATATCTTCACAAAGGATACACAGGTTTAGCTGAAGCTGTAATCTAATCAGATAGAGATTTTGGCTTATTTTGTTACCACTCTTCAGCGTGTATCTGGAGTCAGAGTGTTGCCTGGCTGCAGCCTGAATGGTGCTTTTGTTCATATTAGGAGAAAATCTTCTCCTCCTCAAGACGTGTACAGCCATCGGACGGACAGCCACAGCAGTGAACACACAAGGTAAGGGCCACTGAATGTGCATGGTACATCCTGGAGCTGTGTTTAACCAAACAAACATATACCCTGGCCCTGAAAAAGACTGCATCAACGCTCCTGTTTATTTCAACTTTTTCTGGCATTACTTAGCCAGCACAGAAAAGAACTGAAGCAATCAGATATGATTATAGAATTCTTGGCAACTGATAACCAGACACACTAAGAATAAGAAAATAACTTGATCTTATAGTTTTCATGGGACCTCACTTTCTACTGAGTGCCAGTGAATCTGGCTACTTACCAGAATCTTGCCATTTATCAATTTAAGCCCGAATTCCTCCTCCTGTCTTGGTGTTTGAAGGCAGCATTTCAACACTCTCCAGAACAATATGAAATGAAAAGACGTTTTAACTGCTAAATACAAATTAAATCATAAGATTTTATTATCCTTTTTTTGAAAAGTCACCTTTCTTAAAATGTAATCATGTAAATGTCATATTTTAATTAGAAGAGTGATGTTCTCCATGTATAATTTGCTTGATGAGCACTGAAAAGGGTAGGACAAAATAGGTGATTAAGGTAATTATGAAAAGTTCTTATACTTGAAGAGTTAAAATCGGTTGGGTTTGTTTGGAAATAGCAATGATGATATACAAGTGCTCTATTTTAAATGAGATTCATGAACTTCTGTGGTGAAGTAAAAAGCTATCTTAGTAACCATGCGTAATACATGATGACATAGGACATTACTTAACAAGTGAAAAACAATGCTTGCAAGAGTTTAGGAAAAAACCATAGGAAGAAAACTTCAGGACATAGATCCCAATCATAAGAGTGGTACAAAATATTAAGGGGAATTCAGAAAAAAAGGAGAAATCGTGTGCGTGTGTGTATGTGTGTGTGTGTGTGTCTTAAGGAAGAGAACTTAACAGCACCATTTGTCACACATAGTTCATGCTCAAATCACTTGATAATTGAAGTGACCATCTGTATAGGCTCACTGGCTTTTACCCAGAAGAAAAATAAACTTGTATCTTTATGAAGGAGGTAATTTGGCAACATGGATTGAGGCTGCCACCGAAGTTAGGTCACTGTCCTACCACAGAAACTGGGAGAACAGGAGTGGTAAGGGTGCTCTTCCTTGACTAGTACGTTTCAGACACCATTCCTCGGTCCTGGAGAAAGATATTCCTGGATCTGTAAGCTGGCAAGAGGCTTAAGTTTTAAGAAGTCTTGCATACCATACGATTTCACTTACATGTGGAATCTAAAACAACAAAACCAACCAAACAAACAAAAAGTTTATGAATACAGAGAACACGATGGTGGTTGTCAGAGAGAGGCAGTCAGAGGAAGGAGAAATGGGTTAAAAAGTACAAGTTTCCAGATATAAAATAAATAATGGGGATGTAATATGCAGCAGTTAATACTGTATTGTATATTTGAAAGTTGCTGAAGGAGTAGATTTTAAAAGTTTTCATTGCCAGAAAAAAAAATAGTAACTAGATATGGTGATGGATGATAACTAGACTTAGGGTGATGATCATTTCACAATTACACGAAAATCGTTATGTTGTATACCTGAAACTAATGAAATGTTGTATCTCAATTATATCTAAATAAAAGTAAAAAGACATTTCAAAGAGGAGAAAAATAATTTATAAGCTTTCCAAAGTAAATACACTAAAAAAGGAAAGGGGAGAGAAATCCTCCCTTCAACAGAGAGAACTTAGCCTCTTATTTTTAATTTGTATTTGTTCATAGAGATAAAATATTTCAATATTTAATTTGCATCAGACTTGCGCTGGCCAGACTCCTTCTTCTCTAGGTGCTTGGATTTTTACTTTCTACCTTTGCTTCTGTCTCTCTCAGACTTATTTCTTCATTCATGAACACATTCTTCCTTTAAATATGTTGAATTTCATTCAATCAGGTTACAAGTAGCCAAGGGGAGCCATTCAATCTCTTTGAGGTGAATTTGCTTATTGGTGTTTTATATGTTGATTTCAATGTTTGTCTCTTAAAGCAAACTAATTTCCCCTTCTTCCAGGTTCTGGAGAGGCACTTGTAGCTCTACACAGAATATCTAACAGCACAGTTTACCTAGAATAGCACACCCCTAAAGCAGGCACTTAGCCATTATTGGTGATTGATTGAGAAATCGCATTAACTGAAAGGCTGGCATTGCTTTCATTCTAGTCCAACTGGTTTCTGTGTAAAGCTGCACATTGGCAATTACAGAAATGGTTTCCATTTCCTTTTGCTGTTGTCGGAGAGGAAAACTTTTCTTTTCTTTCCTTCTAGGTTCATCAGCTGGACTAATAAACTGACATAAAACAGATTACAAAAGAAAAATAAATTTAATTTCCTACATATGGAAACTCCTAGAAATACAGGATTCAAAGAAGTGACCAAAGCAGGCAGCTTTTATACCTTTTAGACAAAGAAATAATAAATCTGTGTAGAATCAACAAGTCAAAGAAGTTTGGGCTTGTGGTAGTAAATTAGTGAAGAAATAACAAATTTTGTTTATACAGCATTCTCAGCCCTGAATTCCTTCTCTGGTGATAAGGTACAGGTAGGGTACCTTTCACACTGGAGATTTATTTCCTGCATTCAGTGGGACCAAGGAGGGTCAGAGTGTCTTTCTTGCACTGACTGTTTAAGTAACTTTAGTTCAAAATAATATGCCCAAATAGCACATTTTGGGGTGGCACATTTTGATCCCTTACTATTGAAGAAACCAGCAGAACTGAACAATCAATGACATACCAAAACAATGACTACATCTCAAATGGAAATATTCTAATTGCCTTGTGAATTGTTATTCAACATCTTGAGATTTACCTGAGCTTGTGTAACTACTTTGTTGTGAAAATTTAGAATAGAAAGAAATCTTGCTGCTGAACAAAGACTAGTGACCTATTTGGCTTCACTTTCCCCATACGTGCGTGCGTTCAGTTATTCTATTAGCATGCTCATTGCTGTGGATTCTGTTACTGCCTCTGGCAGTGAGACAGACTCCGATTAACATGTGCATCAGAAACCTTTGCCTGGATTCCCTTAGGGCTTGATTCATCTGAAATTACCTTTGGAAGCAGCTTTGCTGATCTATGCCCACTGATTTAATAATGAACAATCACAATTCTTAAGACTGAGAAACTTTCAGTTGCTAAGTTAGTTGTGCTTCTTGCTTCTAAAGCATCTTACTCCAAATAAGAGATCTTATTTCGGATAACATGGAAAACAAAGAGAAATTAATGCTGCTATCTTTAAACAGATCCTAAATTCATAACCTAATGTCATGCTTCGGTAAAACATTCTAATAAGACAGTTTTTACAAGACCACTACCAACTGCATTTATGGACTCAGAAATAAGAGCTAATTTGCTCTTTTTTATGGCCACCAGATAATAAATAACAATATATAAAAAGCCACAATTCCTCAATAGTGCTTCTGCATTTTCACAGACTTTCCCTCATTTGTATATATTTGCCTGAGATTCAAATGTGGCAGAGATGTTTCATAGGGAACAATGCTTCTAATATGAAGGCACTCCTTTTTTGGAAATTACAAAAAGTCATGGGCTCCATGTGGAAAGACAATAGTCTCAGAAGACCCCAAAGATTGGAGAATGGATCCATCCCTGCCAATCACCAGATCTGTGAGGTTAGGCAAGTTAGTCATCTCCTAGAGCCCTAATCCCCTCATCAATTACTCATACATATATTTTATCTCATGGTCACTATATATAACACTGTAATATGCTTTATAGCTTTATAATAGAGTGTTATAGAGAACACACAAAACAGCTAACATAGCAGATGTTCAGTAAAGGATAGCTATTATTATTTTCCTGCCCAAGGTTCTATAGCACCCTGGTTAGAGATCACTGAAAAATGGCATTTATAATTTGCTTGACACTATTCTCCTGGACTCTAATGCATAATTTCTGTGCCTGATAATAGTGCAACATATTTTCATAATGAGCTCTAATCTATTCCTGACACATTATCTTTTTCTGGCAAAAGCATCCAAATCATGTGTTAGATGAGAAAAACGATCCCATTAAAATATGTATCCATTCCTCCATAAAAAATATTCCTTATGCATTTGTTATCAGATAGTACAGCTTTGTTTTTACTCAAAACCCTATACCAGACAATAAGATTATTCCCATGGCATATATCAAAGTAGTAGCCATGAAGCACGATACATTAAAAATACTATTAGGGGTGTATATATGTATTTTTGGCTTCAAGTTTCCCAAAGATTCTCAGATCTAGTGCCATACAAATCGTAGTTATTCTCAACATAACAAGAACTAACAGAAGGCATTTTTTCTATTGTTTTTTTGACAAATAACTATATATTTAAGGTGGAGAATGTGGTATCTTGTGATTATCAAAAACAAAGTAACATATCCATCACCTTACATACTTACCATTTATATTTTCGTTTTTTTGTTCTTTCTTATATGAGTTTTGATGCTGTGAAAATTCAGTATGTTTGAACAATAGAGGTACTAACAATGTTTCACTTTTGTTCAACTGAAAGAAAATTGCTTCTATAATCACAAACTTAATACATAGGACTAAACAAAACAAATTGAAAGAGTTTTGGGAGGACACGGGCTGCCAAAATAGCGAATTTTCCCTGCATTTGTTAATTAATCTATGGTGTGGTTCCTATGGTTTCTCTACAGTGTTATTC